ATTGTTGTATGCTGCCTAGAATCACTTTGTGTGAGATGGGCGGCTCTCTAAATGTGATGTATGTATGTATGTATGTGTAGGTAGGTAGGTAGGTAGGGAGAGAGAGAGAGAGAGAGAGAGAGAGAGAAGAAAAAGTAAAGAAAATGTAGCTAAAACTAGTGTGCACCAACACCATTGGGTGTACTTTTCTGTCCATGCAAACCGTCCGTCCGCCACATCCATATACCACTTCATACGTTGCTGTTTCAGGATCTCATCAGCTCCATCCATCCAGCCCATCCAGGTTTCTCAGTCTCTCCCTTCCTCTCAAGCTGTTCACTCTTCCTTCCTTCCTTTGTCTTGTCATTCAGTGCTCATTAATCCTCTCTAGGTGACCAAACCCCCACCTCAGTCTATTTCTTTCTTATTGGTTACTTACTTTCAACTATTCATTTCTTGTAGCAGACCACATACTACCTACTGTCTTTTTTACCGGCATTTGCATATCTTAATATTTTTCCATCTATTTCCCCCTTTTTAGTAAACTTTCTATGAGGATACAGAGAGTCTTCCACTTGCATTAGTTTTTCACCATTTATGCTCCAGTTTTTTCTACTATTTATCAAGTGGTGATACACATTTGATGGGATGATTATCATTTTGCCAGGGCTGAAATTTATAAACACAATAACGGATGGAGTAGCTGTAAAAGTATAACATTTTCTTTTCCTAATGACAGATGACCGGTTTACCAAATCATGGCTTGTTTTCACTCAGCATTTTCTATAAAGCTGGCAACTTACTGGCAAATTGGGAATGCAGTTTCAAGAGCTCACAAGGGATTTTTTTTAACTGGGCTTGTAAGAATAGGCCTTTGGGGTCTCTGGAATATATTAACCAAGACTTGTCAAATCATTGCTTTTTTCTTTTTCTTTTAGACACACATTGCAGTCCCAGAAACTGCAGTGTTGCAGTCAGTTGCCAATCTGGACAAACTTGTAGCTGTTATTGAATGCCAGCAACCAGAAGCAGATCTTTACAGGTTGCTGTTTTTATTACTGTCTTTTTTTTTTTAAGGATTTGGAAAAGGAACTTATGACTATTAAAAATTAGACAAAAAGTATTCCAAAAATTCTTGTGATGGAATTATGAATTTAAATGCCTATGTTGCTTAGGGAAAGCAAGGGGATGACTCACTGGGAATGCTCTATTAATTTCATTTGGGAGTTTCCTTGAGTTTGGAAAACTCTCCCTAGGTTCAAGCATTCACTCCCCACTCCCTGGGGTGGATGAAGCATTTTATTCTCTGTCGACCTAACACCGGGTAAAGTAACAGCCCAACAGGTCTCCAAGATGATGCAGATTTGCCATAGAAAAATAGTATTATTTTATAGCTAAACATAAGCAAAATTCAATATTTAACTGTTGTATTTAAATGGAAGAAAGTTCAAGAATGTGGCTTTGAATTAAGCTAACCAGGAAGCCTCCATCTATGGTTTGTTTAGCAATATGTCTGAACTAGGATTTCTGATTGTTGCTTCCTGGTTTGTTCTTGGCTTCAGATTCCTGGCTTTGTTGATCATGGCATGCCAGGAATTGGGCTTACCATTACATGCAAACCAGGTCAGTTTCTTTAACTCATTTCCTATGCTGTTATGGTCAGGGTTTAATGACATATTGAAAAGTTAACTTTTCTTTTTATTCTTGAATCGTAACACATAAATATTTTTTTACAGATTTGTTGGGCGTATAACCATAAGTCAACAAATTGAGGAAATAGTACGGTAAGCCAAATGCCTTCAATCTGAGTGAATATGATTTGTGACCAATTCTATATCCAGGCAATTCAGCTTCAGTAAAAAAATAAAATAAAATGCGTTTGTATACATCAGGCATGTGGAAGCTTAAGTACACTGACCAGATGTCCTTACACCACTTCTGTGTTCACCTTGCAGCTTCTTCTCTTGCCCCATTTCCCATGCAACACCTGTGTTTTTTTCTGGTAATGCTTTTAAAAAACTTTATTTCTGCATAGATGACAAGTTGTAGTGGAAATATCTTAAACTATGAGGGTGTTGTAACAGGCTCCTTCCTGGTTTGGATGATGCTGTGAACTACCAGCTACTAGTTTGGCCAGTCTGGCTAACTCATGCAGCTTTTTTTTTTTTTTTTGCTATTAAATCAAAAAAGCTGTAAAAATTACTTTTAACAGTACATTCTGGATTGGTATAGGCCAGTTCAGCCCCTATGAATCTGTTAAACTTGATGTTTCTTCTAATAATTACTTACACATTTCAAGCCACAATAGATTAATGGTGTCTGATAATTTATCCCCTCCACAGGTTTCTCTTAAAATTGAACATTGGGTCAGCATGGTTGACAACTTTATTTGATTCAGGGCCTTTACTCACTGACCCTCATTACAGATTTGTAAACATCTGTGTAAATACTATAAGAATTATTGCTGGAAATCGTCACATTGGTCTCTCCAGGAATAACAAAGCATTTCACAAGTCAAATATCTTCTTTGGAAGGGGGAATTCAAAGTGTTACTTGCTTGTGGGGTGTGGGAGATGTTCTTAAGTGGCACATTCAGATGAACCCAGAACTCCTTGGAGAAGGTTGTGGTGAAAAACAGCAAAGGGAACAGCTGAGCGGCATGAATGCAAACAATATCAGATACTTTTGTTGTTGTTTAGTTTCAGTGTATACTTCTTAGTTAGCACAACAGAATTAAAAAATCTTGAGAGCCTTACTGGATCGGAAGAAAGAACTAGGTAGTGTAGCATCTGATGTATTTTATGACCAGGTAGATGCGTCCATGAAGTTCACAAGTAGAATGAGATGGTCATTACATGACATGCTGTTTGGTATCATGCTGTCTCTGGACTGTACATTAGATTAATTAGGTGTCAATGACACCATTCTATGAATTTGTCTCTTCCTTTTTAGGAACTTGGATATTGATACACACAATAAATTTCTGCATTCCAGGGAATGAGAGGCGGTTGGTTCAAAACTAACTATTTGGATTCCTATATGAAATTATTCACTCTTTATCCTAGAGGATCCTCTTTTTAGTCCTGTGGCCATTTCTTCTTTGACAAACCATTTCAAACTGCATTGCTCACTTCTTTTTTTGTGCCTTCGAGTCAGTTTTTGACACCTGGCGACTGCCTGGACTAGCCCCTGCAGTTTTCTTGGCAAGATTTTCAGAAGTGGTTTGCCATTGCCTCCTTCCTAGGGCT